CAGCAGTCCTGTGGGACTGGGCCCTGCCTTGGGTCCCCACTGGCTTTCCTCATCTTCGGGGCCCGGTCTCGGGGTGAAGGCTTCAACATGAACTTTCAGAGGCTCACAAMGTCTGGATCACAGACCTGTCCTCTCACACCCACCTCGTGCCTCTGTCCCGCGTGTGGCTCTTGCCCCAGCCTCTCTCCTCGGGCCTCCCGCACCCTCCCCCAGGTCCRGCCCACACAGCCCTTCTCAGGAGCCATCGCTGACCCCCTAGAGGGTCAGCGGCTTCAGGGCTAGGTGCAGCCTCAGGGCCTTGAGTCCACAGCAGCTGCACCCTGCAAACCACAAGCAATGGAGCCGAGAACAAGGTCTGAGTCTTGAGGAGTCAGGGCCACCACAGCCAGAGAGCTCAGARGGCTTTCATGGCCTTGCGAGGGTTGGGGCAGGGCAGCCCAGGAGGAGCAGGGTCCCAGAGCAGCTCCTGGGGACAGCCCCTCAAACACCGGGCTCCCGGGGAGGCCTGCAGAGGAGGTGGGCTGCAGGCCTGCCGGCAGCCCCCGTCAGCCACTGCAGAGCAGGGCTGTGGGGACAGGCCCTCCGAGAGCCGAGGGGACGGTGCAGAGCAGGGAGAACCCCCACGTGGGGTTGGAAGGCCTTCTCTGGACCTGCGTGTTGGCAGGAAAGACTGATCAGACTCCAGGCGTGACTCTCCTGCCAGGAACACTACAGCGCTGAATTAAACAGTGATGGTTCCCAAGTCCCCGAGCAGTCAGAGGCAAGGAGTCCCAGAGCCCCCAGCCCAGGAAGCACAGAACACACGTGGGCGGGAAGCAGCCTACGCCTGGGACACAGGGARCCCTGGAAACGGGCTGGGTGGGGTGCTGGGGAAGTCACCGGGCCTGGCTGAGTGCCGCTGCCTTGGTGGCCCGAGAAGCTGGCATTGAAAGTTCAGTAACGCCAGCCGGGCTTGGTGAGGCCCCGGTGCACGGAGAGGGAACCACGTCCCCTCTAGAGAAACCTGCTCTGTGACAGGATGAACTCCAAGGTCGTGAGTCCACACTGACAAATCACAACACACACACACACACACGCACACACACACGCACACGTGCACACACTCGCACACACGCACACACACACGCACACGCACGCATGCATGCACACACACGCATGCACACACACGCACACACGCACACGCACACACACACACACACGCGCACGCACACGCGCACGCACACACGCACACAGATGGTGAGAGCAGCAGAGGCCACAGACAGGAGACCCAGCCGGACAAAGGCTCTGGTACTGGGATCATCAGGCCCAGAAGGCAAAACGTGCCTCTTGAGATGGGAAGAAACRGAGCAGGAGGACACAGACCACCAAGCACATGAACGAGAAATTCGGACTTTCTCCCCCTGAAAAGCCACGGACCTGCTCAGGCCAGGTGGAGGAGAACGGGTGGATGTTAATAAACAGCTGTGGTAAATCACCCATGATTCAGAGTTCACACAGACCCTGGGGCCCGACTGGACCGAGGAGCTGCCGAAGCTGATGCAGAGCAGGCCTGGGCACCTCATCTCCCTCGCAGGGGGTGCTGGGGGTGGCCAGGCACACGTGGGAGACATCCCATCACGGAAGGCGCCAGTACTCTGATCGATGAGCCCTCGGCCAGGTACATCCAAAAGCCCACGCTGGCTCAGGGTGATGACATGAGGATTACCCTGGTGCTGGCCACCGTGCGTGCACCCAGGCACGGCAGTGAGGGAAACCAGCAGAGCGTCACAGGGCCCCGTCCAGAGGGTGACAGAAGGCAGGCAAGGTGGATCAGGAGATCACAGAGGGAAGGGGGGAAGGGGAGGAAGGGTGGGAAGGGCCGCTGGCTGGCTTCACGGGGAGGCTGACCCGGGGAGGGGAGGCGGGGAGCCAGGAGCCGGGGGCGGGATGTGCCCCACACCTCTCTGGGCTACTAGACAGCAGGAGGTCACAGGAGGTTCCACCACACAGAGGTTACCTGCTCTGGGCGTGGACAGCCTGGCACCCAGTGAGTGCAGTGGACCTTTCAGAGCCCCCGTGGGACGACCCACTGATAAAACTAGTCTCAATGAATTCACAGAAAGAATATCACTGGGTTCTCTTCTCCAGGTGCGCCATGACCTTTGAAAACCAGTGACGTGGACATAACTGAAAGGCCCCACGATCGTGGAAAGTCGGGAGCACACGGATACGAGATGGGAACGTCAACAGTGGCAGTCGGACCATGTTCAGAACAGATTCTGTATCCAAACCAGAGAGTCGTGTGGGAAGCAGACGTCATTGGAGGGAACTTCAGAGCCTGGGATGTCTCGGGAGGCTAGGGGTGGTAGCTGCAGACCCCGCTACTCCTGGAGGCTGAGGCAGGAGGCTGGAGCCCAGGAGTCGGAGCCCAAGAGGCCACAGAGCCAGACCCTTCTCCACCAACCAACCAGGGAACTGAAGTCAAAGGGAAAGGGGGTCGGTCCCAGGATGTGGGACAGTGAGAGAGGGCTCCCGGCGGGGGAGAGCAAAGGAGAGAAATGCAGGCACCTGGCTCACTTCATCCTTCAGGGGCCGCGGCTCCGAGTCCAGGCCCAGCCCTGGGGAAAGGTGCCGAGTGGAGGGCCACTCCAGGAAGGCCCGGGTGTGCACCTGGCTCCGAGGCCACCGTGGGCACCGAAGACCCCTGGGAACTCAGACCCTGAGAGGCAAGGTAACCGCACCCTTGAGGCCTGTGTCCTGCAGGTGAGGCCCCTCCTCTGTGTCAGGGCCCCTGGGGCTGCCCCCAGGTGGACCACCGTGTCGCCTGCTATGGTCAGGAACTGAGGGGACTCTCTGCACCTCACACAGTACTTCTGACACCAGAGCAGGCGGCTCTCCCTCGCAGCCAGCGCTGCCCTGCAACTCATCAGTCCACCCAAGGTCGCCCACCCCTGGGTGACGGCCCCACTGAGATGCCAGCTGCCACCCCCCTACTCCTGACAGACGGGCTGGGGACAGGGACTCCCACTGGGGTTCAGTAACGTTTGGAAGGCCCTGGAACTTACTCTAAAGGTGGTCACAAGGGGCACAGATGGTGGCAGATGAAGAGGCCCACAGGGGGGATCCAGAGGCGTCCGCAGCCCAGGGCTATCCTGTGGAGTTGGGCGTGAGCCCCTGCTGGCCCAGGAAGTGTCCACCCACCGACACCAGGCTCACCCAGTCCCCGACACCAGGGTTTTTACAGAGTTCTGATCTCCAGTCTCCGGCTTTGGGGAGGTGGAGGTGGTGGGTGGGGCTGAGACGCACCCGGGCCCTGGTCCTTCTGGGTCACCCCACACCACCCTCCCCAGTTGCTCTTAGTGTGACAGAGGGCTTGCTGGGAGAGACAGAGACCCTGGGCGTTGGGAGCTCTGGGTGTGGGCCTTCTGGGCCTGTCCCTGGGCACAGTGACCGCTGCAGGGAGGACACGGGCTTTCAGCCGTGCGGGGTGGGTCCAGGCTGGTGGCCTGAGCGGGGCTTCCCTTGGAGTTGGACGAGGAGTGGCGGGTCTCCAGCCTGCACCCCTCTCCCACCCTGCCTCCCGGCCGGGTTCCTGTCCCTTCCCAGCACCTGTGGGTCCCAGCAGCCTCCCGGGTCTGCGCCAAGCTTGGCTTTCCTCCAAGAGATGGGCCATGGCCTCCGGCGGGAGAAGGATGTGTGGGGGAAGCAGTGGGAACCAGAGGCCCAGGGAAGGACTCGAGAGACCAGGCCATCCTTTAAAAAGCCAGTGACCTGCGGCCCTKCCTGGCTCATATCAGCAGGATATGTCGCCAGCAAACTGCCATCCGCAGGAGAAAGCAGGCCCCAGATAACGCCCAGGAACCCAAGTCACCCTGAAGGGGAGAAYGCTGCGAACACTGCACAGAGCAGATCCTGGAGCTCGGGGAGATGAGGACAGTTTCTCCCAACCATAGACTAAGAATTTATGGTCAAGAATTCCATGAGAACCAGTCGGCAAAAAAGTGTCGTGTCATCCTGCTGTCAGTCAAAAGTCAAGGGTGGACATAGGCAGGACTCTTGGAACTTCTCTGGGACCTCAGTAAAACTGCAGAGCAGGAGAGGCTGGCTGTCCTGTCCTCCCTGAGAGGACCCACTCCCTGCCTTGAGAGTGTCCCCTCCCCTTTTCCTCTCCGTCAACAACTCCTTCCTGTGACTCTGAGCGACACGTCTGAAATCCTTCTGAACTGATTGCAAGCATCAGGGCTTGGAGGGGGGCTTCACACTGCCTCCGTTTCTCAGAAGACCCCACCCTCTAGCAGATGTCTTCGCATGCCCCAGGGCTCCTGCGGCATGAACTCCCAGGGGTGGGGAGGAGGAAGCAGTCTCCCCAGGCCCAGTGCTGAGCCTCCCGCCTGGTTGCAGACACCACTGCAGGAAGACTGCGCTCCCCTGGGGAGCGGCAGGGGACAGGCACTGGTGGCACTGCTCTGGGAAGCCAGAACATGGGGTCACCTGACAGCCAGAGGCGCGTAGGGAAAGGAAGTCTCACATCTGACCCTGCATACAGACCTGCAGCCCCCCCCCCACCCCCCCGCAGAGAAGACTCCACAGGCAACCTGTGCAAAGGGTCTCAAGCAAACTCAGGCCACCCTCGCRAGCTGGTGCTCTGGCTCCATCTGCAGAGGGGGCCGCAGAGGTGTGGGCCTGGGGGTGTCCCAAGGATAAAGGAAGAGGAAGAGCCAGGCTGGTCACATGCCCTGCAGTGAGGCAGGGAAGCTATTTTTCCTTCCCATGTGAATTCCACAAGGAAATGATGGCATGGGGGAAACCCGCAGACCTCTGCAGAGAACATCAACAGAGCCAAGGGGGACGGGCAGGGCTCATCCCCTGCAGACAGCACAAACAGCCACGGGAAGCAGCCATGTGCCCAGCCTCACCTGACCACTGGCAGGTACATAAAGCCCTGGCTCAGGAGGCCCCACACCTCACTCCTCCCTCTCCACCTGCTGCTCTCACCTCCTCCACCCTCCACCTCCAGAAACATGACCTGCTGTGGCTGCTCCGGGGGCTGTGGCTCCAGCTGTGGGGGCTGTGGCTCCAGCTGCTGCAAGCCCGTGTGCTGCTGCAAGCCCGTGTGCTGCTGTGTGCCAGCCTGTTCCTGCTCCAGCTGTGGCTCCTGTGGGGGCTGCAAGGGGGGCTGTAGCTCCTGTGGGGGCTGCAAGTCCAGCTGCTGCCAGGACAGCTGCTGCAAGCCCTGCTGCTGCAAGTCCAGCTGCTGCCAAGACAGCTGCTGCCAGTCCAGCTGCTGCAAGTCCAGCTGCTGCAAGCCCTGCTGCTGCCAAGACAGCTGCTGCAAGTCCAGCTGCTGCAAGCCCTGCTGTTGTCAGTCCAGCTGTTGCAAGCCCTGCTGCTGCCAGGACAGCTGCTGCAAGTCCAGCTGCTGCAAGCCCTGCTGCTGCCAAGACAGCTGCTGCAAGTCCAGCTGTTGCAAGCCCTGCTGTTGCCAGTCCAGCTGCTGCAAGCCCTGCTGCTGCCAGGACAGCTGCTGCAAGCCCTGCTGCTGCCAGGACAGCTGCTGCAAGTCCAGCTGCTGCAAGCCCTGCTGCTGCCAGTCCAGCTGCTGCAAGCCCTGCTGTTGTCAGTCCAGCTGTTGCAAGCCCTGCTGCTGCCAAGACAGTTGCTGCAAGCCCTGCTGCTGCAAGTCCAGCTGCTGCAAGCCCTGCTGCTGTCAGTCCAGCTGCTGCAAGCCCTGTTGCTGTCAGTCCAGCTGCTGCAAGCCCTGCTGCTGCAAGTCCAGCTGCTGCAAGCCCTGCTGCTGTCAGTCCAGCTGCTGCAAGCCCTGCTGCTCCTCAGGCTGTGGGTCCTCCTGCTGCCAGTCCAGCTGCTGTGCCCCTATTTGCTGTCAGTGCAAGGTCTGAGGTTCTGGACATAGAACTCCAGTGGCCCCTGCACACCCTCAGTCTCCAGACAGAGGCAGGAGCTGCACCCCAGGCCCATGGGGCTCACCCCTGGCTCTTATCTTCCAGTTGTTGGAAGCTGCATCTGCAGACCAAGGAGGACCCAGGTCTCCAGGGAAGAAGGACACCACTAACTGGTGGGCTAGGTCCCTCTTCCAATGCCCAGGGATCATGCCTCTCCCCCCTCACCACGTTCTCCAGCCTCTGAGTCACTGACCCTCATGGYCTCTGGCTTCACCTGGACATGCAGCACACAGTGGAGTCCCCGCAGCCTGGGCACCCCCCAGCTGTGAGCGCCTTGTCCACTGACAGTGGCCCAGCCCAGGCTGGCTCTTCTGGGCCCTCCCTCTCTGGCCAACTTCTCTGATTCCTCTGTGGAGGCGTGAACTGTACCCTCGATGTCCTGAAATAAAGTCTGTCACCCACTCTGTTCCCATGGTGTTCCTCACTTTATTAACTAATCAATGAAAGCCCCTATCCACACACCTCGATCCTCCTTCAAGTTCTTCTGCTAGTTCCTATCACCATTCCCCCTTGTGTCCATTGGCTCCTGGAACCAACTGGACCATGTCCACCATGGGGCATGTCAGGGCCAGGGTCAGCAAGGCAAGGGCCACATAGCACCTGCTTCCAGGTCTTGGGCCTTCTGTGATCTGGAAACCAAGGCAGCAGGGGGCATGGGATACGGGTGCCACTGAGCAGCTCTGCCAAGGACCTGGGTCACCAGGGCACCCAATTCAAATGACGTCAGCATGGCGAGGAGACCAGGCGCAGGGACAGGCCCAGGGGCGGAGGTTGCCCTGCGATCTCAAGGCTCAGCTGGGCCTCAGCAGGGAGGCTGCCCAGCTGGGACATCTGGGGACAAAAGCTCAGCCTGTGGTGAGGTCCAGGAAGTGAGTTGGAGACATTTCTGCTCACTTGACCCAAGAGCCGTGGCTATCACCCTGACGTGTGCTGAGAACCCAGGTCCCTGGAGGGCCAGAGACCTGGGGAAGGAGAGACAGACCTCCAGGAACCCTGTGAGAGTCAGAAGGGGACCCGGGGCCTGGGAAGAGCCAGCGGGTGTGTCATTCAGCTTTTCACTGATGTGACCAAGATCCCTGACAGGGACGACTGAGAGGAGAGGATTATTTTGACTTGTGGCTTAGGGCTGGCTGAGGGCAGAAGAGAGAGGAGGGGCCCCAGGGAGCCCTTGCAGCCCACCTGCAGCGGCACTTCCTCCAGCTAGTCCTGACCCTCCATGGAGGAGGCCAGAGCCCTAGGATCTAGGGCTTCCCAGGTCCCACCTCTGGACCCTGAAACCCTGCGGGACATCCCAGGTTCAGAGCCTGACACTCCAGCCCTGCCCCAAAGGCCCCCACCCATCCCTCAATGAAAGACCCACTCAGGCCCTCTCTAAGAGTCCCCCGGTCTTTGCAGTCCCCGGGTGGCTCAAGTTCCCGTCCAAAGGCTCCTCCGAGACTCAAGGCCACTCTCAGCTGTAAGCCCAATTAAAAATCTCAAAGCAAGTGACAGGCYTTCCACAGGAAATGACAGCACAAACACTCCGTTTCCAAAGGGGCGGGGGCCAGAGCCAGGCTGAAACTCAGGGGGGCCACCAGGTCTGCAGCTGCACCACCGGCCCCTGGTGGTGACGTGTGGAGCAGAAGGGCTCGGGCAGCCCCAGCCCTGTGACTGCTGTCTGCCACCCAGCTGGCCTTCTCCTGGGCCAGCACGGCTCACTGCCTGCAGCTCCCTCTGCCAACAGTCCACGTGCCGGCATCTGAAAGTTCCCGGGATGTCCACTGAAGTTCCGGCTTTGCTCTCACAGCCTGACAGATTCCCGTCTTGCCTGAGGGACTCCGACCCTGGCACACGTGTCCTGGCCTCCGAGGTCTCCTTCGCGATCTTGGTGGAAGCCTCCGTGAGCCCAGCTGCTGCATTCTCCATGCCTGCAGAGCCAGCACCCAGTGAGCCATGCCCAGGCCTGCCGTCACCAGGACTGGGAATCAGGCGYACCTGGGCCATGGCTGCGGTGACAGTTGTGTGCCTGGATGGCTGAGCATGGTGAAACGAATCCTGGGGAAACAAGTTTCTAGGTGACCCTGTGGGAGCAGGGGCCCCCAGAGCTGTCTTCTGAACACAGCCTTCCAAGTGAGTTTTCCCTTGGGCACTCTTGAGCCTGGAGTGGGCGGGGTCTTGCTGACCCCCAAGATGCCCTAAGTCACCTTGACTCTTGCCCACCTGCAAAGAACTTGATTTCTCTCTAACAGCACTGATCTCTTCAGCAACCACAACTTCCTTAGCTCCGATTTTACTTAGGCTTTTCTGACCAAACTAAGGTTTAAAATTCTTTCTGCTCTGTTTTTTGCTCATGATCATCACAGTAAACCTGGCTTCAAGCAGTCAGGAACATCCATACCACTGCCTGAGATTTCCTCTGCTAGATTAATTAGCTCATTCCCTTCAAATCCAGTATCACACAATGTCTCAGAACACGGGCAAAATGTAGACAAGTTTTTGCCAAAATGTAATACATGAGCCTCTGGTCCAGTTCCCGATAGAGTCCTGATTCCCCTCATGAGCATAGTCTTTACGTCTACATTCTATTGTCTTTCTTCCAAAACGATGCCAAGGTTGTCCCTTAAGCTCTGCCTACAACATTCTAGGGCTTGTCTAGCCTGCATTTCCAAACTTTTCCAAACTCCTCACGTGAAATAGTCCCAAAGACTTCTGAACCATGTGGGCAGAACGACCCCATTCCTGCTATCAAGTTTCTGTGTTAGTCAGCTTTCAGTGCTGTGACCAAATACCCAACACAAACAACTTAGAGAAGAAAAGGTTTTGTTTGGGGCTCATGGTTTTAGAGGAGTCAGTCCCTGGTCGGCTGGCGTCAAGACAGAAAAGTCATGGCAGCCAGGAAACGGAGAGAGAGGTGGGGGGAGGAGCCAGAAAGAAGATGACCCTCCAGGCACGCCCCAGTGACCTACTTCCTCCAGCTTGGTCCACTCCCAGCTGTCCATTTAGCCGCCAATGGCCACCCACTGGTGAAGACAGAACCCTCATAATCCAGCCACTTCCCCCAACCCCACCTCTGCACGCGGGAGGCTTTGGGACGGTGCAGACCCAAACCACAGGACCCAGCAGGTAGAAGGACCCAGAGGGGTAGGCAGGAGCTGAGCACAGGTAAGAGAAACTGAGAGGGGGAGTACAGGGTTAGCAGGAGCACAGTGGGCAGGAGACTCCCACATGCACATGAGCATACCCACATCACACATTCCATGTCTGTACACACAGATACATATACACACACACATAGGTACACACACACCATGTATACACGTTTATACATGTGCACGCACCCCATACACAAAGTACTCTATACATGTTGCATACATGCCACACACACAGACACTGTCTGTGCACATGCTAGGTATGTATGAATGCTATGTATAAACCTGTTATATACACACATGCATGTATACACACATGAACACATTGTATGTGCACACTGCACATGGACAGAGAGATGCACAACTACACACAAACTCACACATAGAGTCATGGCTGTTGGTGCAGAGAATCAACCTACACAGACTTGGGAATTGGTCAGCAGTTCCCCTGAGGCTGMCCCCTTATCTGCTGCTGGACCTTGAAGTCCACAGACAGGTCAGGTGGAGGAGGTCAAGGAGGTGCCAGCATGAGGCTGAGCCTGAGGATGGCTGGGGCCTGTGTCCACTTCTGTTGCCTCTGACCTTGGTGGCCAGGGTGTCCTGCAGAAGCCAGGGCCCTCCTGAAGGAGCCGAATGCACACACCTGGCCCCGGCGAGGAGAGCTGGCCAGCCTGCAGCTGCTGTTTGAAGCCAGCAGAGGTGGGTCAGTGCGTCAGTAACGGTGTGGGCTGCTGGGGCTGCTGCGTCCCCTGAGGCCCCCACCCTCGCCCTGCCTCCTCCAGGTACCCTCCTGGTACGCCTCCTGGTACCCTCCAGTGAGACTCGTGAGATAGGAGGCTCTGGGTGATGTGGAACAGACTAGCAGAATGGTCTCGGTGAATGACAGTTGGTCCCTTCTGCTTTGGTGCATGGAACCCAGCTGTTAGTGATCCAAAAAAGTTCTGTCCACATCCTCATCACYCAAAGCTGTGAATGTCGCCTTATCTGCAGAGGGGTGCTACCTTATTTGGAAAAGGGTCATGGTTGATGTAAGCTAAGGATCTGGAGATGGGGACATGGCTCTGGTCGTCTGGATGGGTCCCACCCATGCACAAGAGACAGGAAAGAGGGGCATGGAGACAGGAGGGAGCCATGTGGCCAGGCAGGCAGAGACTGCACCACTTGGCTACAAGCGTCCTCCACAATAAAATGCTGAAGCCAGGAGCAGACTTTCCCCCAGAGGCTCCAAAGGAGGGGCCCCTGAGACCCCCGACCTGGGTTCTGTCCAGACGCAGAGGAGGAGTTTCCAAGGGCCCAAGCCATTCACTACGTGGCAGCCACGCCAACCTGGCACCTGGGTCTGCAGCCTGCTGTGACACAGCACAGCCACGTGGCACATGCACACATGCGGAAGGAAGGACAGTGGCCCCTCCTGCTTGGACGGTCCGTGCCACCAACTCCTGGGAAGCAGTGACACTTCTGCTTTAGTTGAGCACAAGGGGGTGGTGTTCAGAGTCTCACCAGTGCCCCTTGGGGAGACCCAGGTGGTGAGCCTGGGCTTTCTAGCACCTGGAGTCAGATGAGGTTTTGTATTCAGAGCTGTTGGTGCTTTGAAAGGCGCTGGGAGGGGTCGAGTGTGTTTCCTGCAGAATAGAGGACAAAGAAGGATGAGTCCCACAACTCAAGGCCCGTCCCAGCCCCTGGATCTGCAAACACTATTCTTCAAAACAGTGGACGTGAACTCACCTYGAAAAGGAATCTCTGCAGGTTTCGTCAAGTTGTGGGGTTTGAGAGGAGCTCACCTGGACTGAGTGGCCCGAGCCCACCACAGTGTCTACCAGAGGCAGAGGTGGGCATCGCAGGAGGGGCGACGTGGCCAGGGAGGCTTAGATGGAGTGGTGCAGTCCCAGCCAGGGCACTGATCTCAGGAGGAGGAGGAGGAGAGGGTGCACCCCCAACCCCCCACCCACCCTGCCTGGAGCCGCCAAGGAGAGGCCCCTGCACCTGGGGTTTAGATTCCAGCCACCCACGTTTGAGAGAATAAATATCTCTTATTTAAAATTTCACCCAATTTTTAGTAGACCATTACAGCAGGTATACAAACATGATGTATACAGTAAGAAATTACGTGTTGGGTGGAGAATGGCGCAGTATAGAGTGCTTGCCTAGCGTAAGGGAGGCTCTGGGCACTATCCCAGCACCATGGAGGAGGGGGGGAGAAGGGGGAGGGGAAGAAGGAGGAAGGGAGGAAGAGGGGGAGGAGGAGGAGGAGAAGGAGGAGGGAAAGGAGGGAGGA